TCTGTGCATTCATTAATGTCAACCTTAAAAAGGCGTTTGACAGACGGCGGACAGCGATTTACGCGGCGCACGCCTGCCCAGATGTCACAATAGTTTGTAGTGTCGACCTTTACGCAACCTACTGGACAACTGCGGTTTCAGCCTTTGAAACAGCCGTTTTAGCCATGTAGGTTTCCGGGTACGGATGCTACGTGTGCAAGATTCCAGCAAGTTTGCTGTATCTGATCCCAAATTGTGATAAATCGCAGCAGATGAGATTGCAGGACCGTCTGTGATACAGCTCGGAGAAACTGGGAGATTACTCCGTACGCGAATTGCCGAGCACGCAGCAGTAGTGAGGCGGGAGACGCTAACTCTCAGGTGGCGGCACACTCGACGGGACCCGGCCATATTTTCAAATTTCAAGAGGCGGAAATCCTCGCAAGGAGTGACAACCGCGTGAGCCGCGAGCTGCTCGAGTCATGGTTCTCAGGCCCGCAATCCATCAACAAGCACAATAACCTCCCGATACCCTATACCGTACTGCGATTTTCCCTGGACAGGAGAATCAGTCACGTGGGGAGGGCGCGGGCGAGCAATCATCACGGTGACAGTGAGCCAGTTTGTCGAGCAATCGTCACACCAGCATCGAGCACGGATGACGAAATCGCGGCAATTAACGACTCGGACTCGGACCGACATGCCACCACCGCATCAATTACGACTCCAGCGGTGATTACGAGGACTGTTAATTGCAGTGCGCATACGGTCCCACGGCAGCCACGCGCTATAAATACTGCACTCCTGGTGCCACCATCACCTCTATCTGCGAATATCTCTGATGATGGATTCGAGTGAGGATCCGAAACGTCAGGCAAGTAAATTTCTTGTTCCAGTGATCGCATCTTCATCTTCTGAACAGCTCGTTACCTCTGGCGGAATGTATAAGCATGACCCCAAAGGTTCTTCGGTCTAATTATTCAAGTCAACGAAGAAAGTTGGCGCCAGGAGTCCGAACTGTGCCGAAAGACTGAACCCTCGTTAAGGGATGTGAGACAACCCCATCGACGGAGCAAAACATAAACCTACCAGATATCGTCTGGGAAATGGATGAATGCTAGAAAAAACGTTTCGCCGTACTCAACTTCAGCTCGTTTTGATAATGGGATGTTCGTGAATACCGTGCTTACCAGCGAACTGACTGATCAATAGTGAAGGAGACTGATCTCCCCTCGCCACAATAACAAGATAGGTCAAGACGACTGGACGCAGTGGGAAGTCTGAATAAAAGTCTCGCTTACGCGGACCTCACCATCGACTGAAAGATACTTCAAAGTTTACCCAGCCAGCGTTCCCGGCCGACGCAAGGTAGCCCCAGAGCCCAGCAAGGTCCCCAGGTGCTGCATATCTGGGCTAGGTTCCAGGTGAAGTCAGACTGGACTGACTGCATTGTGTATGTCGGCAGTTGGTGTGACCGTTACTACAAAGAGGTGTCTACCTTCTCCTGGGTGTCCCACATAGCCCCCAGACAGGAGTTGCATGAGAGCCCTGGAAAGCCCATTGGCTTTTTGATGATGTTGCTACTTAAAAGGCTGGTCCAGCGCAAGCACGAGACAGAGATAATGAGGCGGCGATTTATTCACAGACACCTGAAATGCGTGAAATTGGCGGGGAGGGTGGGAGGTTTGTACAGGTGAGGTGCGGGAGGGCAGTACAGGATCGGCTAGAAGTCTTCTACGCCCAAAGGTGGTTTGATAGCAGCCCGGTAGACGCGACCCTCGAATACAGGCTGGGCAGGGGTCCCCGACTGCTGCTGCTGCTGATTGTGGTGCTCTTGTGGTGGGGTGGGGGCAGGCAGTCCGGGTAGTCCAGACGGCAGCGGAGGCAGGATGAACTTGAGCGCACCATGAAGGCGCGGTCTCAAAAGCGGCAGGAGTGGACGCACCTGCTCATGCACAGCATTGCCTACGTACATGTACTTGATGTGGTAGAAGACGTCGGCAAGGGTGTTCACGTGGTAGAGCGGGACGCCCGTTGCAGCTAGCTTCTGGTCCACCCTTGTGACAGCCTTGTAAAGCATCTCCGTGACCTTACAAAGAGGAGAAAGAAAGACGCTGAAGGGAGTTTGAAAGGCCCTTCGAAGCCTACCTACTGAGGTAAATGGGCCGAGTAATTTAGAAGGACCGAATTTAAAGAAGTGCGACGAACCTGGTGGACCCTTGTTTGGAACTCGAGATTCAAAGTACCAAGGACGGGCGCAATCAAGAAAAAGGCCATCAGGAGTCGTGCTTCATTGTCCAGAAGGTC